ATATGAAGTACTGAATTAGATTATTTTTAAATGGCTCTCTTCATATGCTCATTCAAAAAATGACACCTCCTGTACTCTCCTTGCAGTAGAAAAGGTGAGGGGTCAAGTCTGTGGTGTAAACTGCATTGCTGTGTTGATTTTGTTGATGTTAGGTGGCATGACAAGCAGAGTTAATATATTCATAATACAACAAATAATATCAAATGCAGAGCTTCAGAATGCTTTGCAGTGAAATATGAGTGTGTTGTATAAGTTGAATTCCTATAGCTATAATATCAAGAAATATCAGCAGACCAAAAAAATCTCCCCAGAAGTGTTTTAAAAAAAAAACATGCTATTTTCTGGAAAGCAGTTTTTAGTTCTAGGTAGATGCCAAACTGGAACTGTCAGCTTGCCTGTGAGCACTGAGTTTGCAATGATGTGTTTAGATGGTGGCATTGCTTTAACATATACCTTCTGAAGCATTCTCTTGGTGCCGTTAATGTGAAGGGAATTACTTGAATGTGGACCAATTCAATCTTGCCTTGAACTGTACTTAATTTAGTCCCACCTTTGGGTATTCCTCACAACCTAATGCAGGAGAGAAATAAAACTGTGAACAGATAACGCTCCTGCAGTCCTGACCAGCACTGAGCAGCAGCAGTGGTGATGGAGGGACACTGTGCCTGGCCAGGCCTCCTGGCTGTGAATGGCAGGAAATACTGGTGGTGTTTTGTGTTCTGTGGTTGTAGAAAGCTGTTTTCAAAAGAGCAGGGAATTGGTCTGGTGTATTTTCCAGTCCTGCTTGAATGTGGGCCCAGAGCGAGGCCTGCTATATCAGGAGAGCCTTGTTACCTTGTGGAGAGTGCCAAGAAAGCAAATTCCTGTGAAGGAATATAGTGAGAAAATTCAGCTATAATTTCCAAGTAGCTGTGAAAGTGAAGTGAAGAAGGAAAAACAAAATGGCAGTGTGTGCACAGTCAGATACTGCCAAAAGCATCTGCCTGCCTGAACTGATACACAGTGTTGTGCCCCAACACATAGCACTGTGCGTTCCTTAATTAGAAGCATGTTTTTATTAACCCCACCTAAAAAGAGAATGTGTGGGTTTAAATTACAATGTGGGAATAGGTTCATGAACTCAGGCAGGTCTTACAAAGAGGCCACGGGGTTAACAAAACTCCATGGGGCTCAACCATCTCTTGTACAAACACTGGCTAATTGACAGTGGCATTTTTCTCCCACTTCTTATCCCACTTGCAGAACAAGACTGTCGGGGCTTGGAGCAAGATGCCTCCCTCTGTCAGCTCAGCTGTTCTGGGCGTATATCACTACATCCACCAAGCAACGTCAGGGCCTGGCAGGGCTTGAGAGGTAGTATCATAGGGAAAGAGACTAAGCAAAAACAGAGATCATGAAAATCTCTCTCCTTTAGGGTTGTTAGAATATGCTTTTGGTAGGAAAAAGTCATCCTAGCCCACCATCAACTAGAGAGAGGCAGTTTTGCAAAGGAGTGGGGTGTGGATGCTGTTCTGGCATCACTTGAATCTGAAACAGCCAGCCACAACCTTTTTTCTCTATATAGATTGCCCACTAGCCCTCCTGAGAGACCTGAAGAGCTTCACTGCCTCCTTACAGCACACTCCCTGGTTTTTATCTCTGTGCTCACTATCAGTGAAAAAAGACAGGAGGTAAGCCCACATGCTCATTTAGAAACACTTGGGCATTTGGTCTCCAAGATAACACCAGACCTCATTAAGCTCGCACTCAGAGCAAATGTTTTCCTTCAGCCCACTTGTCAGTTTTAGGGTGATGGAAGTGCATCTTTCACGTTTCTGGGTAATCCCAGGGAGATAATGTGCTGGAGCAGAGATGGTAGGGGATTTGCAACCGTACGCGACCAAGCTCACTGCTCTTTGAAGAGTGAGCTGGTTTGCTGCAGTGTTTAAAAACAAGGAACACATCCCTGCAACCAGCAACAGCCTCTGACACTGTCAGATTCCCAAGCCAGGTGGCTTTCACATTTCCACAGCCACACATTTGCAAACTCTGCGTTCCTAGCTGTCCTTAATACGACTCCAGTGAAGCTGGAAAGTACAATATGCACTTGGTCCACCTGGCTAAGTATTTAACAGACTTTCTCTTCATGATGGCTGCTCAGATCCAGATGACCTTTTTCAGGCAATGTATTCACAAATTTCACTCAACACTATCTGCTGTGTTGGAAATACAGATTTTGTCCCATTATTTAAAGGCAAGCTTCTAAGAGCCAAGTAACTTTAGACAAATACGAACACCATTTGGCCTTTACTGATTCATTGATTTGAGTAAAAAGTATCATTCAAAAAAACATGTGAGCTTTTTTCTCTTGGGATTTTCCTTTTTTTTCTCCAAAAGTCTTTTTAAAGACCTTTGAAATGAAATGCAGAATAATGTCCTTGCAGAAGTCACCATGGGGTTGAAATGTTATAAAGCAGCTTATTCAGAATGGTGTAAGCTGCCCAGAGCACACATATTTCAAATAAATTCTGACCTACAGAACTTCCCCCCAAATTACATTTGAAAAATTAGACCTCCTGAAAGTATTCTGCCTGAGTCATACACAGTAAGTCCAAATATGCTGCTTGCTCTTGGCTTTAAAAAAATGGCAAGTCAATGAATTCTTGATCCTCAGCCTGTATTTTCCTTTTTTTTTTTTCCTCCTGTGTGCCTAATTGAGGTCACAAGTACCACAATAAATTTTTCTAAATCAGGATTCCTTGCCTGTAAAAGATCTGTAGGCTGTTATACGCTTCATTTAAGGAACATGTAGACAAGCTTGTAATTTTTCTTCTTGTTCTTCTATTCATACCTCATTCAGGAAACACATATCCAAACTATATGAATTTGCTATTACTTAGTCCCTCTGGTTTAGCAAGATAGCAGTGCACCTGCCTAGTATTAGCATTAATCAAAATCAATTGTCTCATGAGCTTAAGCACCATGCTAATCTGTGCATCAATAGTTACTTGCAGTGACTGTGCTATTCTTCTTAGAAAATCATTCTGGCTACAAACTGCAGAACAAATCATTTGAAGTCTGGTTATTCCTAGTTATTATTATGTGTGATAGTCAAAAACTTTCATGACAAAAAGGTGTAATCAGGGGAATATGATGACATTTTATACTTAGTTTCAGTAACTAGTGAAGGTATTAGAGAAGAGCTAATCTGTGCTGTGGAGCAATTAGCCACAACATATGTAGTAAATAGATGAAAATAAAAATGTAGAGATTTTTTTTTTTCAGTGCAAATTCTGGGAAATGTGTGGGAACAAATAAACAAAGCCAAGTGGAGCAGACAGCTTAAATGGTCGAGTTTGTTGATTCCTTAAACTAGGACTTCAAAACCCAAAACCTAAAGAATGTGCAGCCTCAGCAAAGGGAAAAATCTACTAGGAAAGAAGTCTGAACTAATGACTTCTTAGAAGAGAGCATTAGGAATTGGATATGATAGTGCACCTACAGAAGCGGACTGCTCTGATCTAATATTTCAATGAATTGTATTAGTTCAAAATTCATTGGTACAAACCAGAGTAAGTCTCCATTCAGCAAGCATCACTGAATGTCAGTGGGTGCTCTTTTTTCTTTATGGAAGAATTCAGTGACCAATGTTTGCTTCATGCATACTTCCACGTCAAATGCCATTGTGTCAGACTGCCTCTCTCTGCATCTGTCACATAGCAACAAAATGTAACAGAATATTGGTGGGAAGGTTCAGCCTCTACTGCGATACCACCAACATCTGCCCCTGACTCTGTGGGCCAACATAATAAAACAGGAGGCAGTACTTTCAGAGCTTCCCTTGTATAATGGAGGATCCAGATATTGCTCAGACAGAAGTAGATGCCTTTCAGGTAAGGTGAACAAAAGGTACTGAAATTCACTTGCATAAAATACTGGTGATAATAATAAGGATTTTTTTGCTGACGCAGGTTCATTAGTTGGAAATGACAACAGGAAGAACTGATATAATGAAGAATTAAAAAGTAAAACTTCATCTTAGGTGCTTTCAAGTAAGGTATTTCCAATAGAGTAAGGAAAATATGGTCTCCTACAGAGATGCGGATCTTTCATCTCTGTAAGATGCGGAAAAAGCCTTATATGGAAAAACTGCAGTATCTGTAAAGCAGGCTTGGGAGCCAAGCAGAAGCATATTCAGAAAAGCATTACTGGGGTGAGCGGGAAATGAAAGTCCTATTTCAAAAAAAAAGAAAGAACTAGAAGAACTTTGCTTGTTTGCTTTACTAAATTAAGCTTAAGAGTGATATGATTGCTTTCCATAGGCAAGTAAACAGAAGGGAAAAGAGCTGGGAGATGAACAATATTGGCACAAGAACAAATATGTATAAATTATCCATGAATAAAGTGAGGAGAAAAATTGGAAGACTTCTATTCATCAGAAGAGTGATGTTCTGCATCTATCTTATGGCAGGAATAATTAGAATAACGAATCTCAGCCACTTTAAATGCTATGAATGGGTTTATATTGCTGGTAGCCCTGTCCTTCTCTAGCTGGATGTTCAAACTTCTGCTCACGTAGCAGAGTGCTCTTGGGGTATTTTCAAAGCTTTATTGTAGATAAGGAACCAAATATGAAGGAGTGTAAAGGTGAAAATTAAACTCAAACCTGTTTACTTGTGTTGGGTATTATTCCCCTGCAAAGAAAATTACTGACTTACGCAGGTGCATTTATTTCTTGTTCCATTTTGTTCACAGTGAGCAATCTTTGCTTTAGATACAGGGGATATAGCAAGCTGACAATCCTGCTCCATCGCAACTGCTCTTTGGTAAGAGGCAGGCAGTATAAACCATGTTGCATGCTCTGCAGTCACAAACCTCAAGCAAAGCTGTTGGCTTTAGACCATGAACGATCAAGGCCATTTGTAATAAGTCATTACATGCTACTTACCTCCAGACACTGGCATTGTCTGCAGGAAAAGTTATCTGTGCTGTTGCCCAATCATTTGTGTCTATTGTTCCAGGGCAAGCTGGCTCCACTGGATGCTTTTACCTGGGCACTTTCTGCTGACTCTCCCAGATGCTGACTGTCTCCAAGACTGCAGCCCTGGAAGCCTCAGAACCACCATGAAAAAGCCAGGGTGGGGAGAGAGAGCATGCAGGAGCTCCACAAGTGGACCCATTTTTGGCAACATGGGGAGAGTTACCTCTCTGTGGAGAGAGCTGTGCTAGGGGATGAGCATTTCTCCCCAGTAGAAATCAGCATGAAAAATAGATATTTCTTTTCTTCACCAGCAATTTTTTTCTTTTACTGAAATGAAACCAAATTATTTGTTTGTTTGTTTTTTTATAGTCACTGAACAGGAGAGAAAAAGACAGATTGAGCCAAATTAAAGGTTTTATCTAAGAGATCCCTTGGTATTTTCTACATTGAAGGAGCCTTCCAGTACTCAAAGGAAGTTATAAACAGGAGGGAAAACAACTTTTTACAGAGATAGCTAGGGATAGAAGAAGGGAGAACAGTTTTAAACCAATAAGGGAGATTTAGGTTAGATGTTAGGGGCAGATTTTTCACTCAGAGTGTGGTGAGGCACTAGCACAGTCTGCCCAAAGGCTGCAGATGCCCTATCCCTGGAGGTGTTCAGGGCGAGGTTGGATGGGGCCCTGGGCAGCCTGAGCTGGTGGGTGGTTTAGTGGGCATTCCTGCCTGCAGTAGTAGTGTTGGAACTAGAAGATCTTTGAAGTTTGTCCCAACTGAAGCCATTCTATGAATAGGGAAAATAAAGCACAGCTTTCTGGTGGGCATTCCATGTGAAGAAAGCAAGTGGAGCAGTGAGACAAGATTAGACAGAAAGAGCATCTGAACCTTATTCTCCCAGTTTGTAGTCTTGAAACAAATCTCCTGTGTCCCACCTGAGCACTCTGAGCTCTGGGCACAGGTACAGGATTATGTTTCCCATTTTTGAACAGTTATCTTCAGCAAAGCTGTTCAGTATAAATAAGAAAAGGAAAAGCTTGAGTGATTTGGTGGCCTGATGGCTCCAGCTGGGAGAACAGATCCTTGCTCCAATTAGTGCTTCTCCACATACAAAAATAAAATATTTTTACCAGGAGATATTGAAAATACCTTTTTTATTAGGGCCCTGTATAGTCCAGTTGCAAGGGTACTTTTCTGAAACACAGGGATTGGGAAGACCACATTCATTTTCTTTTTCCCACTAGGCAGAAAATAGGCTGTGTTCTCCTCTTCCCTTGCTGAGTCTGCTGACATCCACACTGCCAGACGAAAGCCACTCTAACCCTGGCAGTTTGGTAAATCCTCCCTAGGACCTGGCTGTAAAATTGAAGCATTTCTTCCTGAAGCACCAAAGTAAGCCAGTTTGCATCTCTGCCTCTTCTCCAGTCTGATCCAAATCATTAAATGCAAATTGAATTCACAGCTATCTTCAGCCTCTCCTCTTGCTGATTGGAGGTATTTTATTTGAGTCAGAGAATACACTTATCGTGGGCATTTGCCTGACTCTAGCTCAGGGCTGCAAGAGCAAGGAATCCCATCCCATGCATGCCTGCTCTTGTTGCACTCTGGAGCACCCTTTCTCCTCTGCTCTGCCTCACACAGGCTGTGTTTGCTTGCACAGAGCCTTTTGTTAGCTATCTGGCTGTGGATCTGGAGCTGATGTTCTTTTCTCTCCATCTCAAAAGCATTTATGCAAAGACAGCACTTTGCTGACAAATTAACAGGGAAAAATAGCATTATTTAAGGGCAAACCTCTCAAACTTTTGTCATGGTGCTCTATAAATACAACACAACAGTATACGGTGTCTGCTCAGATCAAATGTTTGCAATGAAAGGATGTCTGTGAATCTATTTAAAGGGGATTAAGATTTTAGCTGGCTAGATTCTGGGTCATTGGTTTAACATCTATATTATTCTGTACTGTAGTATCTGTCTGCTAGACAGATTGCTTTAACATCTATCCTACGGCATACTGCGCTAATTATGTTTTCCCTCCTCTGAAAGGCATTTTCAGATCTGTGCATGCAAAGTGCTGTCCACGTGGCCGCACTGATGATGGCACTTTGTTAGCTGTCTGCTTCTCCCGTGCCTCACAACCGCTGTGTGACAGCCACGTGTCTGTGGGCTCTTCTCTGTGAAGTCCTCGTGGGTACATCCCTCTAACGAGCCAAGCTTCCTCTTGCCACGCCAAACTGTCAGGGGATGCAGTCACAGCCAGCAGCAGCGGCACTGTAGGCTATTGTTAAATTATAATGAGCACAAATATACCTAGAATCAGTCTGATAATTTTGTTTTGTTTTGTTTTAAGAGCCAGCAGGAAAATTAAGTTGGAAAGAATGGTGTAGAGGAGATAGGTTTTGTTTTTTTGTTTGTTTGTTTGTTTGTTTGTTTGTTTTTTGTCAGGGCATTTCAGTCAAGATATTTTTTGATTTGGAATTATTTGTTTTCCATCTTTGGATTGTTTATCTTCCTGCTTTCTCCTCTCTACTGTGGGCTGATTTATAGGAGGAAAATAGAAAAGAAGCCAAGAAGCTCAGCATAGAGAACATTAGACTGAAACCATTCAGCCGATGGAGGCTGCCCTCCTTTCTGGAGATGTGGGATCAAATCTGCATTTGTCAGATGCAAACTGGATTTCCTGCTCTCCACTTCACACACGGACTCACAAAACCCTCATTTTCCAACAAATTTACTGCTATCTGGAGCCATCCCAGCTCTTCCTTTGCTGCTTCTGCCCCTGATGAGATTTGCCCAGTGGAAAAGCATAGCCTGTTGTCCTCAAGGCACAGTGGCAGCAGACCTGTAATGACAGGAGTGTGATAAATAGAGAATAATGTGTCCAGCTAGACAGAGTAATGAGATTACATCCAAGCTGCCATATCATATCAATTAAACCCTCGGCCCTTTTAGTCCAGCAAACCCATGCTGCCGCAGCAATTGGTACTCTGGGGAGAAGGAGGAGAACAGGACTGACAGATCCTGCCTAAAATAACCCTGGCTTTCCCAGTGCTGCCTGCTCAGGCAGCGGGCAAGGCTCCCAGGTGCACCATGGCCCTGAAAACTGCCAGCTGTGGGGTTCTTAGCCCCAGATGAGAAAGGTGGGGTACACCCAGCCAGCTGCCTTGCAAATTGCAGAGTTGCAGAAGCCACGTGTGCCTGTGGACTGGGAGGCACTGTCTTCTGCCTGGGCCCCCTGGTTCTGCTGATGGAAGTGTTCATTTGTCCCAGGTGACAGCCAGCAGCATCCTGAGCACTCTCTCTGACAACTAAAGTGCACACATCATGGGCTTGCCTCGCCCACTCTCTTCTGTGATACAGCTCTTTCCTGTGGAAGATGAGGCATCTCCCTTGGGCAAACCTGGCATTTGAAGAGGCAGCAGGCAGAGCAAAGTATTCAGCAGAAAATATCTCAATCCCTCGGTCTGCTGCAACAGTATATGAGGCCATCATATACTCAGAAGTGTGTTTTCTCAAAGAACATCTGTTGGTTTAATTAGATGTATTTTGGCTATTCATTCTGGTTTTCAGACTGTTGTCATGAAATAACCATATACATTCTCTGAGAAAGGGCTTAAATACAGCCAACTGATTTTTATTTGTTTGTTTGTTTGTTTGTTTGTTTGTTTGTTTTAATCTGGGCAATAAAACCTTCTGAGAAATCAGGAATGACCGTTTTCCACCTGACATGTGTTGGATAAGCATGGCTGAACTACACTGTCTGTTCCCCAGGTATTACCCTAGGAACAGGATGGGACGTAAATCCTTCCTGCTCTTTCCCCAACTGCTTTCAGCTCATTTCTTGCCTAGAAAGGTTGAACAGATTGTTCCAAAAGGCATAGAAGCCAAGAAATGGCTGCTTGCCTATTCATTTCAGTTTTACTCCAGAATTTACTGATATGTAAGAAGATACAATCTCCAGGTGATTTTTTCTTTGGGATTCGAGAGCTCTTTGTGCCTCTTTCCCATATGAGACCACTGGTGACTCTAGGGTAAGATGCTGCACCAAACCTCTCTGCAAAATGAGACATACCTGTTGTCAGATTCCCAGCAGCTGGAGGGCCAGGGAAGAAGAGGGCAACAGAAAAAAATTGTTGTACATCAGAGCTAGTCAAAATCTACAGGAAATGTGGTGGAGTATCTATGAACACTTTGAGTGAGACTTTTGCTTGTGTCATGCTCAGGCTCCCTGCACTGTGGTGTGCCATTCATTCCCTGTGCTCTGTACATAATGTGGGCACCTGGGACTGGCTTCTTTGCTGTGATCATCAGTGAACTGATTAACAAGGTCCCCTTCTGGCCTGCTTTTTAGGGCAGAAGAGGGTATGGAGCAGTGGGAGGTAGACGAGCAGAAAGCAGAGGAGAGTGAGGAGTGTGCAGAGAATTAAGCAGCCAAGAAAGGGTTGACGTGTAAACTATTTGGAAGTAACCTGCAGCAAAGGGCAAGAGAAAAAAGATAAAAGGAATCAGAGAGAATTCCGAGAGGAGACTGAAGATGAAAAGATCAAGTCTTCTGAAGGCAGACAAGCATTCTGATCATGTACAGCACCATTTCTCAGGTGGAGTAGCTGGTACCAGGGACAAAGCTCTCATTCCTGCTGCAGGGTGTAAGGTGGCAAGGGTTACAGCCACATAGCAAAGATGCAGGGATGTCATTGGTTTCTAAACCAAGGTTTTTGCTAACTGAAATGGCAATATTACTTTCAAAAGCATTATTTTCTGGGTGTTTTTGTGTGTGTGTTTTTTTTTTTGTTTTTTTTTTTTAACAGTTCTTATAGGCTTTTAAACGCAAACACCAGTTACAGTAAAAAAAAAATAATCCAATGAATCATCTTTTTCTTAGTGAAGGATTTTGCAATGGAGAGAAGAAAAAAATGCAGTGATTGCTGCCTGAAGGATGGCAGTGTCAGAGTGGGGTCAGCAATTAGCCACCTTTCCTTGACATGCCTGCTTGGCATAAGCAATAGTTACAGCATGAGAAGAGCAAACACATGTACTTCTTCGGGTGCAGCTCATTGCTTTCTTAAGTACATAACAGTGAAGAATTGAGGACCTACCACTGTGCTTCAGGGGAGCCTAGGAGTAGGAATTTGGGAAGCCCCTAGGTGCTTCTCACTTCATCCAGGTTTTCTGTCCCTCCAAAGGACACCTTGGAACATCCTATCTTTTGTTATCTTCTGAGAAGTGGTTTTAGTGTGGAGAAAAATGCCTTTGTCTTTTAGAGCACATTTAATATGGTGTAAAAAAATAATGTTTTAGACTAGAGGTAATGCCACTGGTGGTCTGTGTCCTGCAGAGAGGTAGATCTGATGAGTGATAATCATCAGGTTTGTGCTCCTGGGCTACCTGGGCTGGTGTGGCATAAAGGAGAGGAGCTGCAAGAAAGGAGCTAGAGAATATTATTCTTCCCCTCCGCAATCAGAAGGGATCTGTAATATTTCAGCACTCAGCAAGAGTGGAAATGAAGGGCTGAGTCACATTCATGCATAGGACATTCATTGAAAATGCCTTTATGCACCTTGCAACAGCCTCTGATGAACCTTTAAAAGGATTGCGCTGTGTAGTTTCAAAAGAGACCATCTGTGAGGTAACTAGGAAAACCAGAGATTGGTAAGAAATAACAAAATCATCTGAAAAGCCCCATTAGAAAAAAAAAAAAATTGTATGGGGGTGGGAAGGAAAAAGGCCTTCAGGTGTTTCACCATTGCACATCAATTCAGAAATGCCTATGAAATTCTGGAAATACCAACAGCTTGGGAGAATGAAGCATGGCTATTTACTCCTGTCCAGAGTCAAACTTTCTTAATGGTATTGCCAAAATACCCATGATAGGATTGGAGAGCTAGCTTTTAGGACCCTCAAAAGGCAGAGGCTTCTTCTGATGTCCTTCTACAGTCTAAGCTGGCTCTGCCTTCCCTGCTGTTGTAAAAAATCCAACATTTTCTTTGCTTCATCTTTTTGACAGATCTGTGCATTAGACTGGGAGTGCTCCTGCCATTGCAGGCAGCCAGAGCTGGAGGCTCTGGCGGCATGCAGCTGGCACCCAGAGCCAGTGCACATAGGGAAGGAAGCCTGCAGAACCTCCTGACAGCCCTGCTTTGCTCAGGGGGAGGTTTTCTCCCTGTGGAGTCTGAGACGGGCAGTGTTTTAAATGATGTATAATAATGGCACTGCGGCCATCGGGGTGAATTCTTGCCTTGCTGCAAAAAAGGAAATGTGAAATCCTTCTACTAAATTTAGGGGGAAATTTGTACATCAGCCGAGCTTCTCGGTGAGCCTGTTCTAAATGATTGCCCAAGTTGTGAGTAGAATGAGCAGTGACATTACAAAAGCGATGTGACTGCTGTGTACTATCTGTCCCTACCTGACCTCCTTCATATCTCTCTGAGAAGCACTAAAACTTGGGGGTTGCATCTGGGCCTTCAGCGAAGTGCCACACAAATGAAACTGAGCAGAATCCTACCTCCCACCTGGACCTTTGTGACACTGTCATCTCCTCTCTTTTGGGACACCTCTCACTGCTGTGC